GTGTAAATTCTCACACGCGTGGGAGTGGGTCACATACTGTACTGTGAGAAAAGATTTGTTCTTGTTGAGAAAGGCGGTGAAGGTATTGTACTGCGAGAAAATTTGTATTCCTTTGTTGGAGGGGTGGGGATGGTCACATACTTTGTGTGAGAAAAGATTTGTTCTCTTGGAGGAAGGGGGTGGGTTCAGATAATGTATGAATTTTGCATAGTTTTACCTGTATATTGTAGTTTTACCTTGCCGGGTCAAAAATGACCCAAACACCACAGTCGTAATTTTTTACGTAAGTTTTGCTGTGTTTATTTATGTGTTGTGGAGGATATCATAAAGCCTCTTTCTCATAAGATCAACTACATGGAAGTTATTACATATTATAACTATGAAACGGGTCGCTGGAGACCCTAACACAACATAAGGGTTCCTTTTTGGAATAACTCAATTGTTATTTCATTGCTTATTCTTATGACAATGGCTGCGTTCCTCTGCTCTCGTTATCAGATGTCTGCCGCCTCTCCACGTCTGGAATGCCCATGTGAAAGTTCTGGGTGCGGCCTTTTATCATCTCATTTGCTGAGCTATGTGTGGGAACCCACAACAAAATATTTCTTCCTATACTGTACACCTAAATATAAAATAGACTAGTCGGAAAAATTGCCCCAAAATGTCATGGATTATAGATTAAACATTGAACTTTCCCAGGATGCAATTGGACTCTTGTCCATTCATGCAAGAAAAAGCGGGTAGGAAAGTCTCCTGAAGTCACTTAATGATTTCACTCATGCTGTAGGTTGTGTCTCTTATCAAAGCTCATTAGTCTTTGGTCACAGCGTTAGACTGTGAACGGACCAAGGGTTGTAGGTGGCACGTGAGGAAAGTGGGAGATACTTTATACATAGGTAAAATAAATAGGTTTATCTGCTTCTCATTGTTTCAGAGCGCTACAATCTATGGTTTCAACGTGCCTCCTTGGTTAGACAGCTTTGAGTGGATAGCATAGACTCTGGTGGATAGGCGCTAACTAGCTACAGTATAAATGATGCATCAATATTTCTTCACAATGATGGGTAGTGATGAGACAGGGTGTTGCGTAGTATTGGTGATTTTGGCAACTTTAATCTACAAGTTGAAAACGCAGATTTGTGGTTTGAGAGTTCCAGAGGCAGATGAGGCGTGAAAAGGATGTAGTTCTAGCGCCCGGCCAACAGTGGGCAGAGAACTTCACAACATGACACACACGACCCCCATCCCTATTCACTTCTGCAACAACATCCTCCTCAGGCCACCGCAAAGACGTGAAAGAATGCGGCAACATCATGCTGCATTTAACAGTAGCTGCAAAAATGAAAACTGAAACTACAGCTTTGCGTGGTTTTGTTTGGACGAACAAAGGAGTAGATATCTCCTGTGTAGCGCTCAAAGCACGCATAGATAGTTAGTGTACCCGCCACCATTGTTGTTTATGTTTGTTCTCGGCTTCTGCACATGTGCAAATGTACGTGCGGGGAAGTCTCCATGTAAACGAGAGGTGGTAACTGATACCCAACTATCCCGTTTTACTGCAACAGCATCCGATCAGCAGCACCTCATCAGCAGCGCCTGCTCGTTAGTATTTGTCGCAAAACATCATGGTAGGTTGTCCACTGCGCAGAATTGGGAGGACCAGAGAAATGCCCAATAATGGGGTGATTCTTTTGGCGCGCATGGTGGCACATGCGCTGCTGAGCACAAGTCATTATAATACATACATGAATATGATGTAGTGCATTTATTTATGCCAAGATGAATATTACACAATGTGTACAACACAATTTTAGGGAACAAAATAACAGGCACAGTTTATAAAACCAGTTGGGCAAAGTAAAGGGTTATAAACTTCAAATTCCCCCTCACTCTTTCAACGGAGATACGATTTAGAACAAAGATAATCAAAAAGATTCTCCAGCAATACAGCAAAACAGGAACACAAAACCATATCATGTGGATATTACAAGACAACACACACATAAACACTTGGACAAGATACAGGCCCTGACACTTGATGACTAACTCTAAGGAATTAGTCTCCTCCATGTACAGTTTACATGTACATTGTTTGTTTTTAAAAACATTTGGCGGGTGTTTTTGGCCATAAGTAGAATGAGTTATTTTGATAGTTTCAGTTAAAGAAGTCGGGTTGAAGACCTTAGCTTTTTTATTCGGCCAATGACGTCCAATCAAAGATAACAACGTTTTTTTAGTTTGTTTGATACGGTTAAATGAAATCATTTTGAAAAGAAACGAAAAGGAAAAGGCATGAAGAATTTGCTAATACAATAAGAGAAACAAGACATACAACAAGACATATTGACGTGTGTGTGGGTGTACAGTGGTGTGTCTTATCTTCATTATTATGCATCCACCCATCACTCTCATTTCCCCTATTGTCCCTCCTTTCTTGTGTTCTTGTGTCCAAACTGGTGCATTAAAAAGGACACTATGGGAGAATGTCTACTTAGGGCAGGGGTGCTGTTCCAAGGACTTCTCTCATGTGTCCTGTGTCCCTAGCAGTTGTATTATTATTTTTTTCCCCCTACTTTTTCCTAAGCTTGAGTTATAGTGCATTAAAACACAAACAAGGGTGAGTTGAAGGAATAGGGGCAGCTGCGATGAGTGAGTTGAGATAGAAATGAATGGTGTTGCTGATAGTGGTGATAGTGAGGGCCAATTTGGGGTAAGGAATGATTGTATGACGTAAAAACTGGACAATTCGCTGTTAAACAAGAGAAAGCTGTGTAGAGAAAGTGATTCTTCTAAAGTAAATAAAAGAGCTGCTTAGTACAGAATCAATGTATGCTTTTTGTGATCTCTAATATTTTTCTATTCATTTACCTGAGCTTGTAGATGCTTAAAACTTTGAAGAGCTTTCATTCATACTTTGAAATTGGCCAAAAAAGTTGTCACACCTCAACCTAAAAGGAGGTAGAATGCTCATAAATTAAACTATAATGTATAGGCTTAATATTTAAATAGCACTTTTAGACTAGTTTTAGAACCAGACTCAAACACATTTTATTGTTGTTTTGTATATGATATGGTGTGACGTTACAATTACAAGAAAAGACAAGATTCTGCTAAAACCTGCCATTTCCTAATCTTACAAAACAGTACTTGGCGTGGTCAATCTAACTATAAGCTGATGACGTCAAAGAGATCAAGTTGGAACGAAACAAGGATGAACCGATAAACCTTTTGTTAGGGACATGTTTCAGCCTGCGTGTGGTGAAATGAAACCTGTAACTGTGGTTTTTGTCATTACATTGTTTTAATGAGAAACTTCTAAAGTAGCGACACAAGAGTGGGCGGATTAAATGTCTCTTTGCATGTGCAGTAACTGACGTTTTCGGATAAACTGTTGCCTTCTGGTAATCTAGAGAGAGAAAGCAACTTTATTGAACAAGAGCTAACCAGAGTGTGCCGATGTCATGCTTGCTTATGTAGGGTAATAATATGCAGTGTAGCTTAAATTTAGTAGTGTAGAGCGGCTAGTCTCCGGATCAGAAACTCGCCGTTCCACCAATGGATCTGTCTTATTTATTTTGGGCACCAGTAGACGTTTGAGGGTCTACGACAGACCCAGGGGTATTTGCCTCGATACCAGTATCACAAATCTGATGGGTTGAGTACGAAAATCGGCCAGGGATATCCAAAATTTAACAACACGACGCTCAGATGATGGAGTTAGAGTTTTAACATGGATTTATTGACTACAAAAATGACGATAGAAAATATAACGAAGGGAATTTCTGGTCACATTAAAACAGAAGTGGTATACATCTCATTTGAAACACACATCCAACAAAAGGAACAGTCTTACTTTTGAGGAGCGTAGAGGAGATGTTGATGGAAAGAGGAGGATGGAGAATGGAGATGGGAGGATGAGAATGAAGAATAGGATGGAGGCGATGTCCTCATCCACGTGGTCTTTGTTCAAACAGGGAGCAGGAGGAAGCCGGCAGATCGGATCCAGGCGTGGGTTCCACACACACACGGTCTAGAATAGCGTTGCGGTGGGGTGTCCCAGGGAGCCCGAAAGTGGCTGGTGATGGAAGGTCCTCGTCTCCGACAGCGAGAGTGGTTGCTGTCCCGTGGATGTACAGGCCCGAGATGGTGGCGGGCGGAGGTCGTGTAGGAGACACGTACCAAAAGGGATGGTTGCGATAGTGATTTCGGGGAAGAACCAAGAGAAAGTTCTGTTGCATTGTGCGTGTTTATATTGACTTCAAGAAGTGGGCGCGTCTTGGACGTCATCCGTGTGCGACAACCCTCCCACAACAGGCAGTTTACAAGGGAAACACACAGGATTAATACAGACGAGCATAACACATTGTACAAACACACACCGCAGTTGGTCTACACCATGTCCGTGCCGGGTGTGGTAGTGTTCAATGTCCGCTGGGGGGCGCCAGAACGCCGCGGGTGAGTCTCGGAGTGTCCAGGGACAGGTTCGCCCGGGATTGAGAGCAGATGGATGATCTCTGATCTCTGCCAGGCAGAAAGGCACAAAGATATTTGTTCTGGGGCTCAGTTTATGGCCTTGGTTGACACTTATGGTCACGGTGACTGATGGTGTCCTCTGGTTGACCTGGCCGTCTCTTAGATGTGCGTCAAGATGGGTCATGCTCGGAGGGCATGTTTACACATCTTGGTTTGCTGGTCAACGTCCGACTAGCTGTCCTTTAATTCACCTTACACTTATCATATCTCTTGTTTTACAATGTTTACTTATCTTTTACTATATTTCCACGTCCATTAAAGTAACAATAAACAGTCTACATGAAAACACTGAATTTTCATTTTTGTTTCTGTTCATGAGCAATCTCTTTGTCCCTTTCTGAAGTCTGGATAAATGTTATAGTACAGTCATTATTAATTTTAAATGTCTACACCCAAAGGAAACAGGAAATGAACATAAATACACAGTTTGAAGAGGTTACTAATGAAAGTGTTTTTTTTTTCTGTAGAACCTGCGAGTGCGTTGCTCTGGGGGAACAGAATTGTACACTCACTCCTGCACTAAGGTCAGAGGACGCATGGGTCACCGCTTCATGTTCATCGACGGAGACAAGGCGGCGTCAGGCTCCTACAGGTCAGTCCAGGAAACGGGTCACATATTATAGATGCTTCAAGTGGCACCATAAAATATACATGAAAATAACAGTCTTTATGTCTTAAGCTGAAGACAGGGTGGCAAAACTAAACCGTGTTTAGTTCGTCATGGGTGGAGCAGGTTGTTTGGCATGATTCCAGTGCTGACAGATTTGATTGATTGTCCACCTATAAAAGTTTTGATTTGAACTGTGCTATGTGTACTATGCTTTCAGTGTTCTTTCAGGGCGGCAGTAGCTCAGTTGGTAGAGCGTTGGCCTTTGAGCCAGAAGGTCGTGGGTTCAAGCCCCGCTCAAGACTTTCACCATCGACTCCCACTGACTACTGTCGTTGTGTCCTTGGCAAGACACTTAACCTCTGGGAACACCAGCCACAGTGGGGCGGCTGCGGCTGTAAAGTGCAAAACTGCCGTTGTGTCCTTAGGCAAGACACTTCACCCCCATTGCCTAGAATGAGTCTGGTGTGTGTGTGAATGGTTGGTGGTGGTCAGAGGGGCCGATGGCACATACTGGTTGCCTCGCTTCTGTCAGTGTGCCCCAGGGCAGCTGTGGCTACATTAGTAGTTTATCACCACCGTGTATGGAGTGAATGAATAATGACACATGTGAAGCGTCTTTGAGTGTCCAAAAAAGCGCTATATAAAACCGATGCATTATTATTATTATTCTATTCTTTCAAATACCAGTAGTTTTTGATGCCACCACATGACCCTGGCAATGAGAGCTGCCACCCAATGCTCATCGTACCAGTCCCTCACTAAACCTCTGCGGTGGTGGGTCCACCGGAGGATGGCTGCTACATTAGTGGTGCCACAGCCTTGGTGTTTTAGCTGGAGTTTCAGGCAATATGGGGTTTAGTGACTTGCCCAAGGATACAACGACAGCAGACAATAGTGGGAGCATTTGGAGTTGGTCCTGGGGTGGGTTTGAACCCACAAACTTCAGGCCAAAAGGCCAATGCTCTACCAACTGAGCTACTGTCGTAGCATCTACTTACTGTATATTGTATATTTTTTGTGCTCCCTGTGTGCTCTTACTACTGTCCTGAATGTGCGCTGCATCAGCAAATTTTCTCCACTGTAGGACAAATAAAGGCCCTCGGGTGGTTGAGTGGATAGCATTCTCGCTTCTCAGTAAGACGGTCCTGAGTTTGAATTCCTCTAGGTGCTCCATTAAAAACATGCTAGATAAATCCTCTAGTGGTCCAGACTAACCCATCTCCAGACTATCAACATCTTCAGATGGGTTCACTGGCGCTGTACTATGGCAACCACTGCTTCTGACAGAGGCCCTAGTGGCATCAAGGTGGGTCAAATGCAGAGGAAAGTTGCCTACAGGATAAATAAAGTGCACCTTTACATTTACATCTTATCTTATTGTTTGATAAAATTGTGTTTAGGCTCTTGGGATGAAAAAAGTAAGACGAGCTGCTTTTACTCTATCCTCGACCCTCAGCCAGTTAAGATGGGAACCATGAGGCTATAAGTGATAGGTTTTTAATAACTGACTAACTGCCAGTTGTGATAAATTAAGAACTGAAGGGTAGATAAATACTGAGACAGTGCTTTTGAGCAAGACATTTTAATCTCTTGGGTTAAAAGCAACTATTTTGGTTTATGCATGTTAGCATTACTTTATTTATTTTGTTGGAAACTATGATGGAGTAGAGGTGACTTTTGTTTTATGTGAAATGCCTGAAATGAATAAATAAACAAACAAAGCATTAACTCAGTGCTTTTCTATATTCTATAATGGAAACTCTTTAAATTGCTCGAGAAAAGAGAAGACTCGGGAAGAATGGTTACGGTTTAGGTTTAATATGATAGTTTTGTCATTAACATGAAACGTTTTGATATAAACACAACAACATCTGAAAAATGTTTACTGAGTTTGGGTGTAAGGCTACTTTTTGCCACACAGGAAATTCAGTACTGTTCTCTGTAAAAGTATATTTATTTGTAATTGAATGATTTCAATACATGTTAAATCTTTAATACACATCTTTACAAATAAATAAGCTTTTTAATGTTCCTTAGCAGTGGCAGTACTACTACAAACACGTGTCAATGTCCATGTCACCTTCAACAACCTATCTCCTGGTGCATTTGGTTTGTCTGTTTTTATGTTGGCATGTCATCTACAAATGTTTTAAAAGTAACCTACTAAACCATACAAAAACGTGCATATTGTTGTTTTTAAAAGTAAGGAGTAAAATACCACCACTGATGTCTTGGGAACACACACAGTACTATAAACTAAAACAATTTTAGCAGGCTTTAGTTGTAAGTGTAATCAAAACAAGTTTATTTTATCTTGTTTTGATTGTGTGAAGAGTGTTGTCTACAAGTGCCACACCTGGCTTTGTGCTGCTCAGGCTGGCGTAGACAAACATGCAAAAGGAATGCACCATGTCTATAACAGATATCTTGTCTCTGTTCTAGACAGACAGGTTGTAAGCGTACGTGAAAAGTTAAAACTATTACAGGCAGGGGAAAGCTGTGTTGTTATTGCGGATCACTGTATTCATTTTTCTCAGTATTTAGATTTAGACAAAGATGTTGACACTTTCCAGTCTTCTTTGGGTGTGGTTTTGAGGTGTGTCAATGTGCCTTTTTCATAATATATAAGTTCAGCTAACAAATCACTCAGTGGATTTTTATGTGGATAGGAATGTTGGCTTGTTGAATGTTAGAGATGCCACTCCTGAAAACAACTGGCCTGCTTATAGATAATATCAAATAAGATAAGATTGATTATTATTAGGGCTGTCAACCGATTAACATTTTTAATCGAGTTAATTACAGCTTAAAAATTATTGGGAGCCGGGCTCTAATTATTATCTTTTGTGTATGGTTTTCCCTGTTATGATGTCAGTATTTAAAAAACTGATTTCTTTGCGTCATTTTTTATCAATGTGAAAATCGCCACAGATGTGGACCCGGGCGTTTCGCTGCCTCTCAAGTGTGAAAGAGAAAGATTGCTCTCTAACTAAAGCTTGACAGAATCAATGAAAAAACTACTCTGGGCATGTGTATGAAAAGCGTAATATGGGACCTTTAAAATATATAACAGGTAAGCTCTCTGAAGGCTTTGCAAACTGGTTTGTCGACGTATACAAGTATTTGTATAAGGAGAAGAACATTGCACCTATACTGGGGGGAAAAATTCTTCCTTAAAGGTCGCATATTATGCTTTTTGACTTTTCTCTGGTACAAACATCCTTACAGTGCTATTGGGTCCAGCTTTAGTTGGAGAGCGATCTTTCTCTTTCATAGTCGAGAGGCACAGAAACGACCTGATTCACTTTATTACGTAGCACACTTTAACGCGTAGCTTGAGCTCCAGAAGCCCTGCCTCCAGGAGGTGATTGACAGGAGAGAGAAACCGAAACAGCAAATCAGCGCACAGCCTGTGTCAGTGTATGGACCCACTGCCACAGTCCACTGAATTTGACCCGAAGACGTAGAATGCGCATGTGTAGCTGCACTTTCTATTCAGTTATCGGCCTTTGCAATCTGCGACGTTTCTGCGAAACACTTCTTAAAAAACTTGGGACTTACTCAAAAGCTGATTGGGAAATCTGTGTTATTCCCATGATAAAATACGTTAACAATCTGTAAATTCAAAGAAACTAACTCGCCGTATTAGTTCGTAGTGAACTAAATAATTAGAGTCAGATTCTGAAGGAGCAATGGGCTCTATGTGACGGATTGTCATTGTTTTAAAAAGTTTATTCTCAGGTCTGAAATGATTCCAGTACGGACCAAAAGTTTGGACACACTTTCTCATTCAATGAGTTTCCTGACTATTGACTGCAGATTCACACTCTGGCTGTTAGGGCAATTTGAAGACATATTTTCAGTTGTTTCATACTTAAGTACATACATAATTCTACATGAGTTCATTCATAGTATGGATGCCATCGGTGTGAATCTAAAATTTTCATAATCATTAAATAAAAAACGAGAAGGTGTGTCCAAACATTTGGTCTGTACTGTATGTACCGGTGAAAGCTAAATAGTTCTGTGTTTACAAAGTCAGCGTGAGGCTACGTTACCGTGCGGTTGGGGGGAGACGGGCTCACAGGGAAAGAGCGCAGATCCAAGCCTTTGCAAAGAAGTGACTTCAGCTCTCTGCAAGAAATAACTATAATATATATGTTATGAGTGTTGTATGGTATAGAACTTTTAATTGTAATAGTCCCTTTAGTGTTTGGTTGTTGTTGTTCTTGATGAGCATCATTAATTTATGTTCAGAAAATCAGAAAATAATTTTGGACCCCAAAAGCCTAGATTTGATATCACCAAGAGTCCAGGATCAATGTCAAAGTTGATGCTGGACTCCTAACCCAATGCCTCCTGTCATTGATCCTTGACTCTTAATTTACTCAGTGATATCAGATTAATGCTTGTAAGATGTCAAAATATTTCTTTCACACCAACAAAGTATGTGATAATATGCATTCTGTTTTGTAGTTTTACTTGGACATCCTCCCGGCTCGACCGAAACCTCATCACTGTGGTGACAGGACAAGCAGTAGATGGCTTCGACCGTCTGTTCCGCTTCCTCTACAGCTCCTCCAGCCTGGTGAACCTGCAGCGAGTGGCGACCGAGCCGGAGCCGGTGCTGGAGCCTCTACCACAGCCCACCTCTGTGGCACCACCATCTGCTGACCTGGCGAGAAAACTGTACAGCCCCAAATATGCGCTGGTTGCTGCTGCCAACTCCAGTCTCAGCCCATCGTCGTCTGCTGGCTATAACAGCCCCAAAGAGACACATAAAGACACCAAAAATGAAGGAGCAACCAAAAAGGGACGAAGGAAGCAGAGTATACAAGAAGCTCCACCCCTACATCCTGGACTTGTGGATTTAGAAAAGGCTTATTTAATTGATTACCTTCCTACCTGGCCAGAGCCCGACCCTTCCTCTGACGTAATTGGCTTTATAAATATCCGTGATACGAGCAAGCCTAGCCCTGTTCACCTACAGCGCTCTCAGATGTTTGAAGTCAGCCAGGCCATCCGGTTCAGCAGTCCGTTCAGCAAACAGAAGGACACGCTACCGGAGGTCGCCAAGCCCAGGAATTTATCTCCAAAATATGAGGAGAATGCACCTCAACCATGGCAGAAAAAGTCATTAGAGACAATTACCCCAAAGGCAAAAAATGTACAAGAAGCTGACAAAGAAAATGCAAACAGCAAAAATCCACCTCTGAATTCGGCTCTAAACAACAGTCACATCTCTACTGCAAACTCAAATGTCCGCACACCTCCACTAGCTGTTCAAGCAGTCACAACCCCAACTGTTAGTGCCGATTGCCCCCAGACAGCGGCAAAACTTAGCACACAGACGTCAACATTAAACAACAAAAGCGAAACAAACTATAGCCCAAAAATAATAGCCCTAAGTGATTCCAACTCAGAGATAAAATCACAGAAAGATAACTCGAATGAAAATTCTTCTCTAACGGTTGCTATTCCTGTCACTTCCACATCTGCTTCTGCCAATTACCAAGATACCGCGGTGCATTCAACCATGACGAGCGCTAGCCCCACATTGACCGCCATTAGCACTTCCGTCTCTAAGCTTAACACAAGTTCGTCTATTGCACCTTCCCCTGTAACATCCCCTCCGATTCCGAAGCCGCGCACTGTCCAGCTAGTCATTAAAGACAACCAGAGCAATGGTCAGAAAATACCAGATGTTAGCTTTGTAAAGAAAGAGGATAGACGAAAGCAGGAAAGCACAAAGTACAATGAACCCCTTGTAGTGACTGTGCTCGCACCAAAAGAAACCGAGAAGGTCCCAGAGAGCGCAAACAAAAGCGCTAGCAAATTGATCCCTCAAAAAGGAACACAGGACAGTGCTGTGAAGGATTGTTCCCAGGAAAAAGAAAGCCGCATATCCCGAGAGAAGGGTAGAGTGAAACCAGGAGACAAAGCTGAGTTAGAAACGTTAGCAGAAGGCAAACAAATTGCAAAGGTAAAAATTGAAGTTGGCAAAGCACCAATAGAAGCTGGTGTGGATATTGATATGGGAATTCCAAAGAGTAATGAGGTTATTAATGAGGTTGAGGGTGAGGTTTTTATTGCTTCAAAAGGCATAATCAAAAAAAGGAGTGACGTTTTGAATAATAATGCTGAGGAAACCTCAATCAGAAACCACACGGAAGCTGCATTGGTAAGCCAAGCTAGCTGTAAGATAGGACAAACTTACGTCAAAACGAGTGTACCTCAGAGCATCACTTATTCAAGTTCAGAGGGAAACATAGACTTAAATTCTCCAATAGACAGGTCCCCGGAATTAAAAACAAAATCTGACCAAATGGGAATAATACCTGCAGACACACGCAACATTGCAAAGATTGACGAAAGTGTGACGAGAACCGTGAAACACAGTCGTTCCCCGATACTATCCCCAAAAGGAATACCCAACAAACCCACTCATTTGAACCTCAACACTATGCAGATGGCAGATTCGCCTACTCTTGAAAAAGAATGTCGAACACTATTAGCTCAAAGACGCAGCCCAATCACGGATGGACTCCTGAACCGCATTCCCACTCCCGATTCCCGCCGTTCCCACACTCCGGATTTTCGAACCCCGACTTCAGACTTAAGCGACGGTTATGGCTCCACTACGTCTGATGAGTTTTTCGAATGCAGTGAATCTCCTTTTCACGAATCCATAGATCAAGTGCCATTTTATAGTTTAGGTGCATTCAAAGACAAACATGCTGTGGCCAATGGCTGCGAGAGTTATATGGGGCAAGCACCGGTGTTCAGCAAAGACCGATCTATGTCAAGCACTGAGACACTTAACGTATCCTCAAAAGGATCCCGATCTTCCATATTAGACAAAATGGATGACGAGGAAAAGATAGAAAAAGAAAGTACACAAGGAAGAGCAGAAATAAATAAATGTGACCTTTCAGAGTTACAAGTCTCTGAATGCAATGACACGTTAAACCAGTTAGCGATGGTGGAGCGTAGTTTGAAGACAAACTTAAATATTGAGGCGACGGAGGTAAAGCAAATTCCAGTGCGTGGTGGCAGCATTAAGGAACAAGCGCTCATCTTTAGCAAAAACAGAACTATGTCGAGCAGTGAAACGCTCAACCTATGCACTAAAGGATCCCTGTCTTCCGGTCTCAATAAAATGAATGACGAGGAAAAGCTGACAACAAATAGTACGCATAGAAGAGACGAAATCAGAAAATCGGTTGACAATTTAGATTTGCAAGTAGCGAAAGACAGATCTGAAAACATGAGCCCATTGAGCCATTCGCTTGTGGCGGAGAAAAGTTGGAATCCAAAGTTGAACAATGACTCGACGGAGGCTAAGCGAGTGCCAGCGCGTGAGCTGAAATCCAAAAGGGTGTATTTGCGAGCAGAGCGGCCCGACAGAGTGCCAGCGGGTGGAGAGGAGACGGTATTCGGCAGCAGTGATGCGGAGAGAAGGGAGACCGCAGTGCCTCCAGCTAACAAAGAGCCCGAGGGACACAAGGTACGTAATGGTAGAACCAGAAAGAAGTCAGGAGGGTGTTTTGAGTTGGTTTTTTTAATAAAGTTTAGACTGACATTGTTAAGCAAGCACGCCAGGCCCACAATAGAATGATTCCAAGTGTTAGCTATCTGTGTGGAGGTTTTCTGTATTCCATGTCTTTCCTTGATAACACATTTTCTGCTAGTGACATTTTTTCCCCCTGTAATAAGACTCATCTGCAGAAATAGGCTGGATACAAGCAATTTAGGCAAATGTTTTCTACCTGTATTGAATGTTTGAACTACCCCACAGTTTTGTGTTCTGCCCACCCAAGTGATATGAATGGTAAGCAAAATAAAGTTATTTAAATTCCCAATGTTAACCCTACACCCTCTACTAAAACTCACTCCCCCGCAGAAATCAATTTTCTCGCTTTGCTTTCACAAACTAAAACCTTACAAAAGCTCACCATAGTAATGATAACATTGTTCTCAGAGGTAAGTATCTCTAACATGCATGCTTTTCACACTGCCTACCTTCAAAGAAATTGGCACATTTACATCAATCTCATTTTACATGGCTTGGAAAAATAAAAACAGTTTTCACAACTCATCAATTTTATACTCTATTAAAGTCTGAGAAATTGAGGCTGCCACACTGGAGAGTATTGATCTTGTATGTGTGTCAATGTGTTTATTCATTAATTAAAGGGAAACACTTCTAATGACACCAAGGCGTTCACACTGTTCTAATGGCATCGTTAAAGATGGATGGCATGACTTTTTATAGACTGTTTAGCTCACGGCAATAGCCTTGTTACCTAACTTTCATTTCCATCCAAGGAGGTGTAGTTGGCATGTCCTTGTCTTGTCTGAATCATGCAATATTAACTTACAATAAGAACCGAAAGACATTTTCACATGAGCTCTGTCCATTTGCAACACAATTTCACAGCACTCTGTAACATACTTGCTCTAGATTTACTCTGTATCTTGGGAATTAAAGCCCATGTTTTTTCTTAAAAATCTAGTGTTTTCTTAATATAGTAGAAGGTTTGAGAGAAATATAAAGCGTCTTCATCCATGACAGCCAGCACCACTTTCCTGCTTAATAATGGCAAACAATAAATTAAAATGTACTTTAAAAATAAAAAAAACTTTTGAGTGATTCCTGCACATTCAAATTAATAATTTTGCTTACAAATTGCATTTTCCCCAATAATTCCTGTTGTATCTACTAGAGCGAGTGAATACAATACCGATGTGCTTCAATTTCTGACTTCGGGGTTTCGGGGTAACCTCTGTAGAATGTGTTGATGGTAACCTGACCATTTCCAACTCAAAATTAATAATTTTGAGCTTTTAACCATGTTAAAGCATTGTTCTCTCATGAAAAATAGACCTGGGATTGTTTTTAGATCCATCCATGATTATATCAGATGCTTTTCGGCACAAACATGTTACTCTGCTTCTTCTGCCTGAAAGCTTCTGGTTTAGTCCGTAATAGTATGATGCAATTTCACCACTATGGCATCACACTCAGTCTTTAAAACAAAAGGCAATTTTGCATCTACTTAAGATATTATTACACATTCTAATTACATGTAATTACTAAAAATAGTCTCATTATACTTTTTAAAGAGCACAAATAATGCATAATGTTTCATCTGTAAGTCATTTCAGATCAATATTAGGATTTCAAATGTAGGCTTATGTTAATGTTATTGATATCGCTACTCTATATAGCAGACTATCTTGTTTTAATGCACTTGAATCTTCGGATAACATTTGGGTTTGTCACACAGCAGCAGATGGACTCTGCAGGGCCGGTCCAAACCCGTCTCACTCGGATATCCAAACCCCCCTGGCCTCTCCCTACCACCCAGTCAACCCTGGCTCGCCCACCAGATCAACACGCAGAGAGGAAGCTATCTGACTGTAATCTCCCGAGACCTGAGTGTACCTTCTCGCCCACACCTCGCAAGCATCCACCGAGACCCCCTGCTCCTAAAGCCACCCCCGGCAAGTACTCCCGAGAGTCCCCAACCTCACCCGCCAAGCCCAAACCGGGTCCAACTCTGAGTCTGTCTTCTCCATCGAAGCAGCAGCCCTCATTTCTATACACCCACATGCAACAGACGTGCTCTTCCCCCTCACAACAGAATCAAGTGGGAGCCATACCAGCGGGACCCGGGCTGGACGAAGAGAAAACAGCATTTGGTATTACGTTCAGCAAGCTTTACAATCTCAAGGGCCTTAAGGACAAGATGAGCAAGCTGCCCACTCAAAGCAGGAGGAGCAGCGGTGGTGGCGGATCAGCGCAGCCCCGGAAAAGCACTGGATAGGAGGGCAAACTTTTTGGAGAGCAAATGTACAATTCATAGCACATTGGCTTCTCTGTCTTAAATGAACTTTGACGAAGTTAAAAATATTCAGTATCTAAAAAGAATACAGACTATTTCCGCTAATGTGGTTTCATTATTGTCTTGTATGTGTACATACAGTGCCTTGCGAAAGTATTCGCCCCCCTTGAACCTTTCAACATTTCGCCACATTTCAGGCTTCAAACATAAAGATATAAAATTTTAATTTTTTGTCATGAATCAAAAACAAGTGGGACACAATTTATTGGATAATTTAAAACATTTTAACAAATAAAAAACTGAAAAGTGGGGTGTGCAATATCATTCGGCCCCTTAACTTTCAGTGCAGCAAACTCAGTCCAGAAGTTCAGTGAGGATCTTTGAATGATCCAATGTTGTCCTAAATGGACTGATGATGATAAATAGAACGCACCTGTGTGTAATCAAGTCTCCGTATAAATGCACCTGCTCTTTGATAGTCTCAGGGTTCTGTTTAAAGCGCAGAGAGAACCATGAAGACAAAGGAACACACCAGGCAGGTCCGAGATACTGTTGGATGAACTGGTGCAGTTCATCCAGAGTGATCATGGGCCTCTTGGCTGCATCTCTGATCAGTCTTCTCCTTGTTTGAGATGAAAGTTTGGAGGGACGGCCGGGTCTTGGTAGATTTGCAGTGGTCTGATACTCCTTCCATTTCAATATAACTGCTTGCACAGTGCTCCTTGAGATGTTTAAAGCTTGGGAAATCTTTTTGTATCCAAATCCGGCTTTAAACTTCTCCACAACAGAATCTCGGACCTGCCTGGTGTGTTCCTTTGTCTTCATGGTTCTCTGTGCTTTAAACAGAACCCTGAGACTATCAAAGAGCAGGTGCATTTATACGGAGACTTGATTACACACAGGTGCATTCTATTTATCATCATCAGTCATTTAGGACAACATTGGATCATTCAAAGATCCTCACTGAACTTCTGGAGTGAGTTTGCTGCACTGAAAGTAAAGGGGCCGAATAATATTGCACGCCCCACTTTTCAGTTTTTTATTTGTTAAAAAAGTTTAAATTATCCAATAAATTTTGTTCCACTTCACGATTGTGTCCTACTTGTTGTTGATTCATGACAAAAAATTTGTTTTGTTTGAAGCCTGAAATGTGGCGAAATGTTGAAAGGTTCAAGGCGGCCGAATAATATCGCAAGGCACTGTACCATTTGGAAGCGATATATCCACTGGATTGCTATATAAAGAAAAATGGGGGAAAAGGGTTTCTTGAAACATTTGAAAAGTAATGTCAAACCATGCAGTATGTTGGTATGCACCTTCTTTCTAAGCAGTGTTGATACCTGTTTGACTTTTTAAGCATATGGTGTATGAATGTTATTATTTATATCTCTAGTGACTGCGCTTTTAAATGCGATTCGCAGTTGATGCAAAATAGGATGCAAAACAAGTTTCTTTTTTTAAATGGGGGACCAGACTGTTTGTGAAAATGTATAAACTAAATGAACGTGTTATAATAAGAGCTGTTGGTTTTTCATTGTTAGTGGTATAATAAAAAAAAGTTGTTACTTGAGACGGATCATTATTATAAGCCTTTATCCGATGATAAGATGGGTCTTAGATACATTTTACAGATATAAACAAAGCTGCAGTCATTGAAATAATCTCCTATAATTACATGCACGGAGCTTCTAATTCATTAGACTTATGTACTTTACATGCATGCTGACAGATGCGGATTGTGTTCCATCATAAACATCTCGTTCTGCAAGCGCTGACAAGCCAGGCCTGACTCACTGGTATTTGCACGTTTAGGTAAGGGCAAGATGGAGGAGATGATTAAAATACATCTCACCTTTTCTCATGAAGGGTGGGTGAGTGCATAGCAGCACCGTTTTAAAGGTTATCTGCTCTGTTAGAAGTATTTTTTTTTTGAGGATTTTGGGACTGTTGTGATTTTAGTCCAGAAAGAAGTTAAAGCAGAGGTATCTTTCAAACCTCAATAATTGGAAAATGTAATGTCAGTGCCTTTCTTTCAGAACATTTTGGTTACACTAGTTTTTACATTATTTATAAGAACACTATTTTTTAGTTTATGTCTGTAGATCAGCTTTTCAAATAGAGGATCACCCTAACCCTAACCTCACTCAACTGTCTGCCCAAAGTGTCAAATATTGCTCTTCTTAAAAGTTTGCAAGTTTTTGAATAATAAGAAGCAAGCATTTTAGTCTAATTATTACACAACCTTTTGGTACAAAACAATTATGGGACAACACCATTACTTATGAAATACATATTAGTAAGGCACTCCAGCTATAAAACATTATATTCAGCAAAATATGGATAACACATTGCAGTTGAGGTTTAATTTTTTTATGTAGATCAGTTCTCCCCCCGTAGCTAATCAGCTTCAAAGAATATTTAGAAAAATAACGGAATTATTAATACCTATTTAAAAGATGCATCAAGATTCTACTTCCAGAACCCAAAAAAATGATTTGGTGTCAAAACCGTGAATAATGGACACTGTAAGGTGATCTGCTTGTTTAGTGATTGTATAACCAATGTAAGGGGAGCAAGCACTGGCCCCTGGGGAATACCCACCCATTTCCTTGAAAATCCCTCCATCCATCCATTTTCTTCCCCTAAATCCATTTCCAGCCCCTCACTGATCCCCCTGCAAGCGGTGAGGACAAAAGGACACATCGACAGCATACATCAGTGGAAGTCGGTGGAGCTCAAACCCACAACCTTCAGGCTCAAAGGCTAATACTCTACCAACTGAGCCACTGTCGCCCATTTCCTTGACTTTGTCTATTTTATTTAGTTATTTTTCTTTCTCCCTCAATAATTCGATTCTATTGTAAATGTAGCCAACTACTACTTTTTAGTTACTGCGAACTTATAGCAAAACTCCATATCTTATCCATTGATAGGAAATCAAACACACTCTATAAATGGATTTCTGGGTCACATATCCCCCGATTTAGAATGAGTCAGACACTAACCCACGCCTGACACAAGAGGATGAGGAGGATTGCAAAGAGCGAGTACAGCGCAGGGGTGATTTAGATGCAGAAAGCAGCTGGATAAAGAAAAAGAAAATCCCTCCCTCTTATCTGAACCGACTGAGGGAGGCAAATGGAACAGAACAGACAGACAGCCCCTGTGCATAAAACAAAATGGGGGGGGGGGGAAGATACTAAGAATGAGATATAGCGAAAGAGACATGAAATCTGCCAAGTAAACTGTTGACGTCAGCCACCACAGGCGCTCGGATCACTTTGTAGATGTTCATCTCTGGGAGGCGGATGTTTAATGTAACAGATTGGGCACGGAATGTTTCGGAGGATTCAGCAAAGCAATTCCGGTGATATAGGATGTGAAGAGGAAAACTTTCTAGACTCATCCACAAAGGAAAAAAGAAAGAGTTTTGTACTGTTAATCTTGCGTGTACCGGATGGAAAGCACAGTGTTGAGGCGGCACTACCGACCTGAATCTGAATGGGAAAACCTCCCATCTGTAGTCTTCACAGGAACCAGCATCTACAGTGCATGTGCAAATTGGTTTCTCACACCTTTCGCGTTATTTTTCATCTTCCAAATGTATATATTCTTGTGTTTATTTAGTATGATTGTTAGTTTTTATCTTCCAAGAATATATGGAAAACGCACACTCCAGGCGCACTCCAATTATAACAGGAACTATCCTCGCTCACTCCCGTAGGCCATTTATATGGAGATGAGAAAGTTTCACACCTTTGTTTCATCCATTATCTCCACTTTGATTGGACACCTCGGCTTGAGTAATGCAGTCCATAATATGAAATAATGTATAGAAGCGAAAACAGCAACAATCTGTAATTTTTGTGCATGGAACACATCATAACAGACCATTTAAAAGTTAAGGTGATCGACTAAAATACAGCAAATTAGAGTTTTTCAATGTGTATGGGCTATAAAAGAGAAGATTTTGGCTGGTGCAACGAATAATCTTAATTAGGCCATCTTGGGAATGAAGTAAAGCATTACTGAAAATTACAGAATTTATAACACTTTATATAAAACATTTCAGTTAGATATGCATAACATAAACTTGGTTAGCAAGTGTTGACAGCAATAATGTTAAATGTATAAACATGCCACGTCCATTTTAGATTTGTATAATTGAGTCATTTAAACTGTTTTTCAAACTAATGCACTTTGTGTCAAATAAGTGAAAAACAATAGAAACATAAATATACATTGAAATTATTGAAACTCAGAAAATTACAATATAGTTCAAAAGTCTTAACCAACTCAAACCAAATGAGTTGGTTAAGACAAATCAAAAGGAGTAAGAATTGTCAGGTTGGTTTTTCACACTGGAGAGAAATCAAATATCCAAAAATAATGCATTTTAGGCGTTTATTTGACCTCGCATATAGAAAACATGCATATCAGCAGCCTCTCTCACCATGGCCCAGTTTAACCCTGTGACCAAAGAAATCATATATTGGTTTCACATTTTAAGTCAAATTACAGAAATAAATGAACTTTTGAATAATATTCAAATGTTAGTTTCATCTGAGTTTCAGCTGGTCACTGAGTTGAACTATAAGATTAATCTGCATTAGAAAAGAGTGGAATGAGATAGAAGTAAGTAAGTGTGAATGTGAGTGATGCTTCTTGGCAGTTGAAACATTGAATGCAGAGTTTTGATTAACACAGGCAGAGACGTCGTGTCACAGAGGGCTCGTTTTCCCATAATGCACTGCACTGCGCTCACAGCTCATCACACATGATAATGCACAACTTCCACAGAGCCCGGGGGTCACATCAACAATAGTGGGATTGAAGGACACAAGGCCGAGACTCATACTGCTGGAGGCTTTTGTATGGGCAACTTTCCATCTCTGAATAGTCCCATAACAATGAATAGTGACATTATATGAAGCATGCATTACACTTCTCGCAGCTGCAATGTGACCAGAGTGACAGATGAC